GGCACAGGTGAGCTTCGAGAGGGCAGGGTGACTGGCACAGGTGAGCTTCGAGAGGGCAGGGTGACTGGCACAGGTGAGCTTCGAGAGGGCAGGGTACAAATGCAAATAGCTAAACACACACACCCCAATTCCATGTAAACGCCTTTTCCACTTCCCTTTCCGCTTTCTCCCGTTAGCTGAGAAGCCAGAAGGCCAAACACTGGCCTTCCAAGATGCCCCTCCCTCGAGGGGGTGGGGGAGGAGACTGAGCCAAGGACACCTGGGTGGAAACGCCAGGGGGGTTTCTGGAACTGGCCCTGCGGCATTACCTCTTCCTGCTGTGTATTGCCTTGGGCAAAAAATGTGTTGGCTGGAGTTACTGTGGCTCTGTTGTGACCCTGAGGGAGGGCCCTAGGGAACTGTAAATGCCCTGGCTGAGGTGCTCTGTAAAGAAAGCAATATCCTCCTGTTCAAAGCCATCTGTTAAGTCAGAGATTCTCCGGGTGCTACCAGACACACTATCGCCCTTCTGCCCTCTCATCCCCAGGTTCTGTGTGACAAACACAGCCTCTGGGGAGGCCACAGACCCTGAGCCTCAGGAGCAAGGGTGAGAGAAGGCCGGGAAGAAAGAAACGGAATCCAGACGAGTGATAAACACTGATTCTTCATCTCCCCTGAAGCCAAGGACGATGACTTTAGTGTAGTGGAGTTTCTGTCTTCGGAGACAACTATGTAGTGAAACAGAGAGAGACCAGCCCTAGCAGTAGGGTCTGATCTGGGCCTCCTTCAACCGCTGAGCCTCAGTTTCTCATTTTGTGCAGTGGGGTTTGGACCAGAGATCAAGGCTTCCTCCAGCCAAGGGAGCTCTTGTTCTAAGTCTTATCTCCCAAGGAAAGGAACAGGTTTCTAGACACAGTGGGGACATGGGAAACGGTGGGGGGGGGGAGGAGATGTGTCGGTTGCTATTGTGTTGCTAAGGAGGATGGCAGTAGAGCTTGGATCCCTGCTGTCCCCACAGGCCCATGTTTGTGGTACAGGCTCGTTCTCCAAGGAGCAACTGGAAAATGGTGGAGTTTTAGGGGAGGGAGAGCTGCGGAAGGGCCTCGAGTCTCTGAAGGAGCCACCGAAAGGGGTAGAGGATCCCAAATAATCATCGTGTGATATATAATTGGCTTCCCAGCCCTGAGGCCAGCCGTGTTTGCTCTGTCGCACACTCCCGCCATGATGCCCAACGCAACGGAGCAAGTCAGTCAGTCGCCCACTGGAACCTCCCGCACCGTGAGGGAGATGGACCGGTCCACTCCTGGGTGGACGGTGACCCGCGCCCCCCAGGTGGCGGCTGTGGCCCAGACCTACCCGTGCTGCCGTCGAAGCCCCCGACGGCGTAGAGCAGGTCATTGAGCACAGCGGCCCCCAGCGTGCTGCGGCGCTCCTGCATGCTGGCGATGGACGTCCACTGGTCCTTCCCGCCATCGTACACGTCCACCGTCCGCACCCTCAGCGAGCCATTGAACCCCCCCACGGCGTACACGTGGCCGGCCATGAACACCACACCTGGGGAGTAGCCAGCCAAGCGCGTGAGCGACAGACACGTGACAGGGGCCAGTGTGAGACTTTACACACCGGGAAGACATGATGGATCTCTGCACGCTATTTACCTGGATGGGTTTGAACTCCCAACCACGTGTGTGAGTGGAAAGCGGGGGGAGGGGGGGCGGGGAGGGAGGGATTGCTAATGTGGAAACTTCTCAGGCAAGAAGGAGCAAGGACTGACCCCCAGCATGGAGGGGGGACCAGCCAGGGGCAGGCAGCAGTGATCAGCCAGTGTGGGGCCTGGGGTATGGGGGGAGAGGGGGCCTACCTGCTCGGCATCTCCTGGATGGGAGTTCGGCGATCTGATCCCACCGGTCCTCCTCAAAGTCGTAGCACTCCACGCTGCGGATCGCTTTGGGCGCCTGGCCGCCAACCACGATCATGACCTCCAGGAAGACGAGAGCATCTTAGCTGGGTTTCCTCGGCTCTGGGGTTCGTGGGCGAGCAGGCCCTGGCTCAACCACGCGCTCACTGCCTCGGGTTTCTGAGTTTCCAGTTCGCAGAGCTCCCTAGATGGAGATGTTACCCCTAGTCCCCAGTAGGCACGAATATTCCAGAAAAAGCCAGCGTCTCCCTGGGCATTCCCAGAAGCCCCACTCAGCGTGATGGTGGGGGGACACCAAGCCACTTACAGCGTCTCAGTGCCCACGAGGATTTGGGGGGCTATGTTTCGTATCAAAGCAAACATAAAGCCATGCACTGGTGGCTCACTCCTGTCATCCTATCTACTCAGGAGGCTGAGATCTGAGGATTGAGGTTTGAAGACAAACCAGGCAGAAAAGCCCGTGAAATTCTTATCTCCAATTAGTCACCAACCAAAGCCAAAAGTGGCGCTGTGGTAAAGCACTAACCTCGAGCAGAAAAGCTCAGAGACAGCGACCAGGCCCTGAGTTTAAGCTCCAAGACTGGCACCAAAACAAACAAATGGACTTACACTTTGGAAAAGAGTATACAGAATTTAGATGCATTTATAAGAGAAATTTATTTTTCAAAACTATTCCTCGCTGGCACTGGTGGCTCATGCCCCGTCACCCTAGCGACTCAAGAGGCTGAGATCTGAGGATTGAGGTTGGAATTCAGCTGGTGGCAGGAAAGTTCGTGAGACTCTTATCTCTAATGAACCACCAGAAAACCAGAAGTGGCACTGTGGCTCAAGTGGTAGAGCGCTAGCTTTGAGGTGAAGAGCTGAGGGACAGCGCCCAGGCCCAGAGTTCAAGCCCCATGACTGACAAAAACAAAAAACAAAAACAGATGGTGTTCTGAAAAATAGGGTAACAGTACCATCCCTCCATTCCACCCCAGTCAGATGACAGCTACCACTGCCCGGCACCAGCAATGGCACCACTAAGAGGTAGACAGAAGTATCCGCTTGGGCGGATGAAGGCTCAGGAGCTCAGGGAACATATGGAGATATCCTGGGTCACCCAGCTATAGATACCAGAGCAGCCCCTGACAGCCAAGTCCTCATGATGGAGGACAGCAGCTGCCCTGCCCACCTCCCCCAGAGACAGGTCATCCATGATCCACGCAAAACTATCCCACTGTGTCTACGTGTCAGAACACGGGTCCCATTACATCAGTGCCTCGGAAAAACAACCTAACGGGTTGTGAATGAGCCCCTTGCAGTAGGATGGCCCAGGAAAACAGCGTTGTCAGGGTGTGATCTCGTGAACTGTTCGTGCTGGTGATACACACTTGGACGTATGTTTTGGGTGACAGCTCCTTACTGCAGGGGATTGTCAAAAAAAAAATAAGTGGGGGGAGTAGGGAGCTACTGCTCTGGTGGTATTAATGGAACTACAGAATTTAACTGTGGTTCTCTGTCATTGTGGGCTTCGTCATATGCTATTAACAAATGTACAATGGTCGAAGCTAACTACAGGGTTGATATTTTAACAAAAGGGGTGTAAGTTCTCACGTCCGCCCAGACACAGAACCATCCCTCAGGGGCATTGTAATACATGTGCAGTTAGAAACAGAAAAAAGAGGTTGACACTGGCCCAGGGCTGACTGACCGTTACCTGTAGTCTAACTGAGGCTCAGCGTGCATGTCAATCTTCCCTGGGCTGTAAAACCAGACTGCAGGGCTCATCCTGGTTACTGATACAGCTGGTGGAGAGGGAGCTGCAGATTTGCATTTTTAACACATTCCCCAGTAAGTTCTGAATTTATCCTTGGAAAATCACTTTTAATTGTTTTTGTGTTTTGGGATTTTTTTTTTTTGTGATCACTGTAGGGCTTGAACTCAGGGCTTGGAGGCTGGTGCTCTACCACTTTGAACCACAGCGCCACTTCTGGTTTTCTGGTGGTTCATTGGAGATAAGAGTCTCAAGGACTTTCCTGGCCTGGCTGGCTTCAAGACGTGATCCTCAGATCTCAGCCTCCTGAGTAGCTAGAAGGACAGGCCTGATCGGCTTTCCTGCTGACACGGCATTTGTAACTTTTGCCGCTGAGAAGTATGCATGTTGGATGCAGGAATGACCACCTACACGCGTGTCAAATCCCAAGAACAAGACCCTCAGCGGGCGTTACCCAACCCCTGCTTAAAATCCTACCCTGCCTGCCTGTCCTCGGATTCCCTACTTGCTCCCTGCCCGTGTATGTGGGGGAGGGGGGGGGAACGGCTCATTCGTGAGCCCACGGAGTCCACGGCCAAATGTGGGTCGCAAAGCAATTCAGAACTCAGAAGCTGGCTCTGGCGCCTCACGCGCTCCCGAGTGATCGGGCCCAGGGCAGGCCCCACGTCCACGCTGCTGCCACAAATACACGTCCTGCCTGGCTTAGCTCACACCACCCGCTGCGCCCCATCAAACGCAGCCTCCTTCCGGAGGGTTCTGGATTATTCCCCAGCAGGAATGCTTTGCTTGGGTAGGCAAACCCTGCCTAACCCAAAGGGCCCGGCCCGGCGGAAGGGCTCACCCCGTATTCCTACGCGTCGGTCCTCTCTACCAGCACTGCCCCTAGCTGTGGGCAGTTTAAAGTCTGCAAGATTTTGCAAGTGTTTCTCTTTGAAATCGGACTTCTAGAGCGGGGGAAGGAAATCAAACCAGACTTGAGGTTTCTTTGCACAGTGATTTCAAGCACCCAGCACCCTGGTGTGTGCCATTTCCTGTCCCGCCCCGCCCCCTACAAGCAGGCACACACCACACACACACACACACACTCTCTCTCTCTCTGATCCCTCCCCTTGAACATAACTTCAGGTCTCAGTCTACATGTCTTCCCCTCTGAGCTACCTCCTCTGACTTCGTGTCTGAGTTGTGTGTCCCTCCCCCGCGAGGCCATCTGCCCTTGTGAACGCCCCACAGTGAAGTGACATTGGTGACTTGTCCACCCGCCCCCTTGTAGACAGCGAGCCCGACCCAAGTGGGAAAGGAATCCGCCCCAGTCTCTGGGGTAGCCCTAGGGTCCTTGATGTTACCAGGTAAAAACAGAGGATCCCAAAGCTCAAGTGAAATAAAAACTGATCAGCACATTCAAGGAGATAAAAGTCGGGGTGTAGGGGGTCGGGGAGAAAAGATGCAAAGCTTTCTTTGCTTAAGTCATACTGGAACACCAGATTGCAATTGTGGCCGCATGCTGGAAGAAACATGTAGCATAAAAGAGAAGGACCAAGTAACGTAGAAAGAGAAAAGAAGAATTCTTCTCTGTCCATCTTCTGACTCAACCACGGGGAAAGGAAGATTTGCTCCTGACTTACACAGTCGCAAGGCACCTCCTATCAAGGAGACGGGGGGGGGGGGGGGGGGGGGCCAGGGGTGGGTAAAAGCCTCTAGAAATTCTTTCCATATATGTTCACTTGGAGAAAAAATCCTGATCGCTGAGAATCACAGTCATATGGAAACAGTATTATAGAGATGGACATGTGTTTACATCCAAATGAAGAGTGAGTATAAGGACAAACACAATACAGGTTTTCCGAACCAATTTGGACAAACACGATACAGGACAGGTTTTCCAAACAAATTTGTGTGTGTGTGTGTGTTGGTACTAGGACTTGAACTTAGGGTCTTAGTGCTGACCCTTCGCTTTTTCACTCCAGGTTGGTGCTCTACCTCTTGAACCACACCTCCACTTCTGACTTTTTGGCGATCCGTAGCTCATGGACTTTCTTGCTCATTCCAGATTTAAACCAAGATCTTCAGATCTCAACCTCCTGAATGGCTAGGGTTATGAGCCCGGCTAAGTACTATTCTTCTCTATGGAAAATCTGATAAGCAGCCATGGGGGGGGGGCAGGGTATCCACTGTGGCTGTGCAGAGTTTAAAAAAAAAAAAGAAAGAAAGAAAGAGGGAGAGATCAATTTCGTTATCTTAACTACTATAGCGGAGTAGTTTCCATAGCTACCAGCTCTTACTGCACGGGCAAGTTCCCCGTGTATTGTTCCATTCCTGCAAGTGCAAACTTCAGCTGCTGGGGACCGCAGGACGTTTGAGCAAGGAAAGATCTGAAGCCTTCTCCTCTTGCACCTGTCGGTCTTGTTTCTGGAAACCCTCACTCACAGGTAGTTTCCAATTACTAACGATTTATGATGACTTTCATGGAAAGTATGGAATCAAAACAGCTCACTGAATGGCTGCTACCGTCTTTTCATTTTTAAGGGGTCAGGTCTCACTATGTCAACCCAGCCTCCTGGGTTCAAGTCATCCTCCTGTCTCAGCCTGGGGCACCCCGTAATGCAGGCCACCTTCCCAGGAATGATCATTTTTTTTAAAACTGACCTGTCAAGGATTATGGGCAAGAAAGACTGGTCATACAGGAATCACAATAGACTGATCAAAGCTGAGCGCCAGTGGCTCACGCCTCTCATCCTAGCTACTCAGGAGGCTGAGATCTGAGGATCGTGGTTAGAAGCCAGCAGCGGTAGTAAAGTCCGCGAGACTCTGATCTCCAATGAATCACAGAAAAAGCTGGAAGTGGCGCTGTGGCTCCAAGGATAGAATGTTAGCCTTGAGTAAGAGCGGCTCAGGGACAGCACCCAGGCCCAGAGTTCAAGCCCCAGCACGGGCCGCCCAAAATAAAAGACTGATGATTTGAGGGCTGACATGATACCACACGCGACGTTCTTGCCGTGTCTGGTTCTGACCCCAGGAGCAGCTACAATCCTCACCGCCGGCCGGACTCCATGCCCCAGGATTGGTGTTAGACATCACCCAAGGAATACACTTCTCTCTGGAAGGCCAAGGGGCTGCTGACTCTGGAGACATTAGTGAGACCGGGAAGAGACTATGGGAGTTTTTGGAAAACACAGGTCCAGCACAGCATGTTTTTAAAATGTATTTTTAACGCATGTCCCTCTTGCTGGCCCTTCCTGAAATGACACCTACGCTGTATCAGCAAGTCCCAGATATCAAATTCACCAGGCAGAGGGGGCGGCGCCAAGCTC